GAATTCTGGCAGCACCTGTGAAGAAAAATCAGAGTAATCAGTTCTGAGGAAGGACCTGAAACGTTAACTCTGATTTTCTTTTAATAGATGCTGCCAGACCTGCTGAGCTTTTCCGGCAACTTCTGTTTATGTTCCTGATTTACAGCAACAGCAGTTCTTTCAGTTTGTATTTGTATAGCCCCATTAACTGTAAAATGTTTCAAGGTGCTTTACAAGATTGCTATCAAAGAAAATTTGATAGTGAGCTACATAAAGAAATATTAGGGAAGTGATTAAGATCTTGATCGAAGAGGTTTTAAGGAGAATCTTAAAGGAGAAGAGATTTAGTGAGGAGATTTCAGTGCTTAGGGCCTGGGCACCTAAAAGTACTTCCACCAATAGTGGAGAGATGAAAATCAAAGATGTGTAAGGAGCCAGAATTAGAGGAGTGTAGGTATCTTGAAGGATTGTAGGGTTGGAGGTGATTACAGAGATAGAGAGGTTTGAGGTCATGGAGTTTTTCAAAACAAGGATAAGAACTTTATAATAAAATTTGCTGGAGAAACTCAGCAGGTCAGGCAACATCTCTGGCAAGAAAGCAGAGTCAACATTTCGGATCCAGTGACCCGTCTTCAGAAATGGATATCCTGGACTTGAAACGTTAACTTTGCTTTCTCTCCATAAATGCAACGGGAACTGCTGAGTTCCACCAGCGATTTCTGTCTTTGTTTCAGATTTCCAGCATCCACAGATCTTAGTTTGAGGACTTTATGACTCCAGCATTGTAACAACCTGACCAGAACACTCAATCTCATTTTGGGAGGGTCTAACCAAAGGAACAGCATGATTATAACTCACATTCTGTGAATGACACCGACTGGGCTGTAGTCTAATCTCCTGGGGAGGATTTACCAAAGCTCCCCATCTAAGTATTTTCTCCCAGCCTTTATAATACAAAGTAAATTGATGGCAAAACAGACCAAACAGACCCATCAAGCCTGTTTCACACATCAGTCAGCTGGAGTCTGATTAGACACCATGTCCCTTTCCAAACTGCCTTCCCCACCACATCAACATAAACCTCATTATCATTGGAGAGACAAAAACAAAATACGTACAACTGAAAGATTTAACATAGAAGGGTAATGTAGCTGGATTTGAACCACTGTAAATTGACGGTGTTGGGAAAGAGATTGTAAACTTTGTTTTGCTATGTGTTTTAAAAATCCTTTGTCTCCTATATCCAGACAGCTTGGGGTTTTTTTATTTGTTCTTATCCTCTGTGTAATAAATTTCTGCTTTATTGTTAAAACAAAACACTCTGCAGCCTTATATTTCAGTAAACGACTGCCACACTAATTAAAATTTTAAAAAGAATGATCTATCAAATCATATTTCACTCTGATTTTAGCAGTAGCACTAGCAGCGGGGACCATAATAGAATCAATCAGCATCTGTGAAACGTACAGCCAGTTTACATCTCAGGTATGTACCCTTCCCCGGACTGAGTTCTAGATGTCTTGCAGCAACTTATACACAAGCCATTGACTGACTCATCTAAGTTTGTGACACAGGAACATGCTAAGATGTTACATCTCTTCAAGGCCAAGTTTTCAGGTCCTTCCAGGTGTGAAACTAGAAATGCATAGCTTTCACTAATATCACATTTGAACACAAATTCTAAATTGCCTGCTCAGCACTAATGGAGGCCTGTACTGTTCTATTTGGGGTATTATGAGGTCATGAAATTTGTTATATATACATATACAAGTCGTTCCTCCAATAGATTGGCAAAATGAGTTCTTTAACACTTTATAAAGATGTGCATAATTGCAAACCTATCAAAGTTTAAAAGATGATTCAGTAATATTCTTAAATAAAAACAGTCTTTGTGTCTACTAAGTTCTTGACTCTGTTGTGCAGTGTAAGAATTCCAAAAATATGGTGTGGTTGTTAAGACAGAAGCAGTTAATCGAACAATAAGCTGCAGATTTTTCAGAACTCTGTGGTGATGTGGTGCCACCTGCCAGACAAAGAGGTCAATGCTTTTCCTTATCAACAAAATGCTTGAAAAACTCAGCAGTTCATCTCCATGCAGGAAAAGAAGGCAATTAATGCTTTACGAGCAACCCTCATCATCAGAACGGAAACGAATTAGAAATATTCGATGTTATATGAGCTATCCTCACCATTGACCACCGTGTTGTATGGAATTGGCTCACCATGGGTAGGTTTATTGCCACCACCTTCTTTTAGCGTAAGGATCTATAGAGCCAACTTTGTCTTGTGCAATAGAGGAAAACCACTTGCTAGTCTAATAAGAAGAGGTTGTTATCTTTAAACAACCAGTAGATTATTGTCGATAACAAGGTGTAGAGCTGGATGAACACAGCAGGCCAAGCAGCATCAGAGGAGCAGGAAAGCTGATGTTTCAGGTCTGGACTCTTCTTCAGAAATTTTCATGAAATTTTCTGAAGAAGGGTCCAGACCGAAACGTCAGCCTTCCTGCTCCTATGATGCTGCTTGGCCTGC